CTCCTGGTGGTGATCTTGGAGAGTTGCTGCCAATCACTGTAGTGCATACTAAGCTAGATGGTATGCTATGGCAACTTCCATATATCTGTGTAGCTACTGTATATTCAAATCCAAAAATTCCTTGGATAGGCAGGTAAGATACTGTATGCTACTGCACTTCACCAGGATCTATGAATCAAAATCACAGTTGTTTGGAAAGTGAATCTACCTCTGCAAAATCAAATCATAAAGTTCTAAGTGTTCCCCTTTTACAGTAGAGTATCTATTTATCTGTCTATGTGGCTATCTGGCTAAACTGTGAAGTTATTGCAACTTGTATCTGTACACATAGTTATATTATTCAAGGGAAGGGAAGGGAAGGGAAGGGAAGGGAAGGGAAGGGAAGGGAAGGGAAGGCTTCGTTTTCAATACCTTGAAAGTAGAATTACATGATACTTCGCAATGAAGCAAAGTCGAATTACATTAATTCAATCCAGTTTCTCTCTCCAAATATTATTCTTTCTGTACTAATCAGCCATATGAAGGAGAACTGGTTTTCAGATTGTTGAAAGCCACGATGCACAAGAGAAAGATTCTACATAGGAATCACTTGTGTGCTAGAAGTTGGAAAGATTGTAAGAATGGTCTAAGGCCATGGTCTAAAGGAGAGAGCATGAAAGAGGTGACATTTTTTATTTGTTCATATATGCTCTGTATTGGTGGTTGGATGGAAAGAGGAGAAACCAGAAAGAAGAAAGTCTGGAAAGAAGAGGAGCAGTTGGGAACTCATGACCAGCGTGAACAAATAAGAGGGCAAACTGCGTTAGGGGAGTTTTGCAAAGGAGTTGAACTGGGGAGGAGAGCAGGGGAAGGATCATACTGATCACCCATCTCCAGAGGGAGCCAGGCTGCAAGCTCTGTAAAATATAACATAGGAGTTATCTTTTAGGTCAACCAGTTCCATAAAGAATAGGAATACAAAGCTATCAGCAGTATGAAAGTGGAAAACCAAAAAAGAAGGAGTGCTTTCCAGGTTATTGCACAGTGTATCAAATGTACAAACTATCTGTACAAACTCTGAGTTTGTGCTCAGTGTAATTTGCTTCTGGGTCTCAGGAAGTAAGTCCATTCATTCCCTTGAAGCCAAGGTTGCTGAACTAGAGATGTTTATACAGTTTGAGAGCTATGTATGTAGACTAGCCTTCTGGGATATGATAGCTTTATCTGCTCCCAGGATGACAGCTGTCAAGGAGAAGGATGGTCTTAGGGAAGGAAAACATAATCATTTCAAGGATAAGGGATATATATTCAAATACCAGTTCCTGGGTAACATTGGTGGAAGAGGAGTATGTTTATGTCTTATGCTTGCAAGTACCCTGGAGGTATTTGGCTAGCCACTGTGAGGAACAAAATGGTGGACTAAGATGGACCTTGGCCTGGTCCAGAAGAGCTCCTCTTAGGCTTTTATGTTATGATGTAAACTATCTTAAGTGTTTCTTGAGAAACATAACATTTCAGTTACTTGGGGTATCTGCAATTTAAATGCACTAACTCAGTGTAATAGCTACACTTATTCTTTGCTATCTTCCAGGTATCTTTGATTGCTTTTCTATTAGAGGAATGTAAAAAATAGACTTCTTTTCTCTTAGCCTGATAAAATTTGGGATTTGTTGATACTTATACTTTAGCATTAGTGCATTAGAGCCTTTCTGCTGTATTTTTCTTTGAATAACCAGGTTCACTTCACATATGTTTTGTTCCCTCTGTTTACCATTGTACTAGGTTTCTCCCCTTTAATTATGAGGCTTAATACATCAATTTCATCCATCCCAGGATGATAGCTCCCAGCTGTCAGGGAGAACAACCTTCACAGTGAAGGAAGACACCTTTTAAGAATAAAGGAGTTGCTTGGTCATTAATTCATATTCTCTTATGCTGAGGATAGTCCTCTGATGAAAAGGACAGGAGAGAAATTTTTGGATTATAAATGCCATGAACGTTCCTGGCAATAAATATATTGAAGATATTCTTTTTGGACATAAGGATTACCAGGAAAGTCAGGGGCTTCTGAAAACACTATATTGTTGATTGATTGTTTGTTTTACTAGAAATCTCAGAATGCCTTGCAGTGTAATGCAGTGGCCAATTTATACCACCTACGACACGCTTGGCAGAGACTGTGAGAAGAATGAATGAATAATGGAGATATTACAATTGCAATATAAATATCTGCACTTGAAAAATCGTATTATGTGGAATTTTCAAGCAGGGTAATATTAGGTGTATTTAGTATTTTTGGTTCTTTCATATCCATTTTGTTGCCAAGTATCTGTCTCTCAATGAAGCCAGTGGGAAAGTGCCAAGACAGTTCTGGCACTAAATAAGGGAGCATGTAGAATCAAACTTAAACAGGCTTTAAGCAGATGTAATTACCATAGCTTTCTCCATGGAAATTTGGGCATTGTAGTTTTTCTGCAAATATTCTGTTGGACACAGTTAGAATACCCTTTCAGATAACAATGTCTCCAGTGTTCCTTGAGGAGAAGCCAAGTTAGCCAAATCCAGTTTGAATTTTGTGGCACGGACAAGTCTTAGATGTGAGCATCAAGAAGTGATAACAGGGGTGGCTGCGAATATGGCTTCTTAAAGGACAATTTGATATTTCAAGAGCTTTCAAAGAGCCATTCTCTTATGAAAAGCTGTCCATTCTAGGTCCAGATGAAAGATAAAAAAGTAAGGAGAAAAGTGGCCTTGAAGTTTCTATATAAACTGTATTAAAATTCTACACATAAAAATTCTAAACATAAAAAAACATGAAGATAAAACAACATTTTATAAAGGACTTATGGATAAACGATTGGACTTTCAGTGTGAAAATTGGTGTCTCCTGGGTGATTGGAATGGAGTGGTTTCCCCACAAAAAGACAGAACCTCTGAGAAATATATTAAAAGTACACAAGGCAAACTACCAAAGGTTTTCTTTGGTTTAGTGGACAATTTGGAACTTGTTGATGCATGGAGATAGAAAAATGGTGACTCAAAAGAATATACTTATTTTTCTGAAAAACATAGATATTTTTCAAGAATAGATATGATTTGGATCTCTAAGACTTTGGCTACAAATGTTCATAAAGTGGAGAAATTACCAAAGAATTTCTCAGACCACAACCCAGCAACTTCAACTTTAAAAAGGAAAAAATGTCTCTTTCACACAGAGATTGAATGAGATGTGGTTGCAAAAGGAAATGGTAGTGGAGGATTGCAAAAAGAAGTTAAAAGGATTTTCTGAGAATAATCTTAATAAAGGCACAGAAGTAAAAATGGGTGGGATGCAAGCAGAGCTTTTCTCAGAAGATATTTCATAGAACGTGATAGTGAATTTAAAAAGAAAAGGCACAAGAAAATACAAGTGATGTTGGATGAGATAAAAAAAGGAAGAAGAATTTTAAAAGTCCCCAGAGAAGACAACTATTACCCACCAAATTAAGCTTCTACAGAGGCAATTATCTATGTTAACAGTGAGAGAGATGGAAATAAAGATGAATTATGCAAAACAAAGAAATTTTGAATTTGCAAATAAACTGGGGAAATGACTGGCATATAAGTTGCAAAAAGAAAAAGAAAAGAGATACTAAAGTTACAAGAAGGAAATACTGTAATAACAAATAATGCAAATATGTGAAAAATGTTTCACCAGTATTATTCTACTTTATATAAAGGTCAAGACATTTCCTTGGAAAAAGTGGATAAACAGAATTTATCAAAGATTACAGAAAATCAGAGACAAATTTTGAATGGACCTATAACGATAAGGGAAGTTTGTGAAGCTATTAAAAAGACTAAAACAGGAAAGGCACCTGGCCCAGATGGCCTGCTGGCCTCTTATTATAAATGTTTTGATGATGAACTGTTACAACCTTTACAACAAACAATATTATTTCACAGAATGGAAAGATTCTTGAGAGCCGGAAAGAGGCCAATATAGCATTAATACCTAAAGAGGCCCAGGACTTTTTAACAAGAAATTATCGACCGATGTCTTTATTGAATAATAACTATAAGTTGTTTACAATGATTTTGGCTGAAAGGTTGAAAATAATTTTACAGGACTTTATTCATGAAGATCAGTGTGTGTTGTTACCTAAAAGACAATTATGAGATAATATTAGGAATGTGTTAAATATTCTGGAGTATTCTGAAAAGCAAGCTGCATTAATCTTCTTAGATGCAGAGAATGCCTTTGATAATTTGAGCTGGATTTTCTTGTTTAGAGTTCTGGAAGATACAAACTTTGGAGATAATTTTATTAAATGGGTAAGATTGATTTATACCTCACAGAAAGCACAAACAATTGTTAAGGGAGAATTAACAAAACCTTGTGAGATTCAAAAAGGGACAAGACAAGGATGCCTGCTAGGGAGAATTAACAAAACCTTGTGAGATTCAAAAAGGGACAAGACAAGGATGCCTGCTAGGGAGAATTAACAAAACCTTGTGAGATTCAAAAAGGGACAAGACAAGGATGCCTGCTGTCTCCACTCTTGTTCATTTTGGTTCTTGAGGTATTGAATAGAGATATAAGACAAGATGACAGAGTTGTGGGTGTCAAGATTAAAGAAGAAACTTATAAGTTAAGGGCATTTGCTGATGACTTAGTGGTAGTTTTGGAAGAATTGTTAGAGGGAATAGAAACATTAATGGGAAAATTAAAGGGCTTTGGTATGCTAGCAGGTTTTAAGATTAATAATCAGAAGATGAAGATGTTAACAAAAATATGAAAATATAAGACCAAATAGAACAGATGGAGAAAACTGGTTTTAAGATTGAAAAAAAGTAGAATACTTGGGTATCATTATGACAAATATGAATTTTATGTTATATCAAAATAATTATGTTAAGACATGGAATGAAATTAAGGAGGACATGTTAAGATGGGAGAAATTGTCACTCTTGGGGAGAATTTCTGTGCTAAAAATTAATGCTTTGCCTAGAATGATTTTTTTCTTTTGTTTTTGTTTCAGACAATACCTGTTTTGACAACTGATATACCATTCAAGCAATGGCAAAAAGATATATCTAAATCTGTATGGCAAAGGAAAAAAAACACATGTTAAATAGAAAGTGTTATAAGATGCAAAGGAAAAAGGAGGATTGGATTTATTGGATTTAAAATGGTATTTTGCAGCTTGTTGTTTGTTGGATGAAAGAATGGGTGTTGCTGAGAAACAAAAGACTTTAGAGTTAGAAGAGCATGATCTAAAGTTTGGATGACATGAATATTTATGGTACGATAAAGTTAAAGTTAATGTGGATTTTAAAAACCATGCTATTAAACGTGCCATATTGAGAATATGGAATAGATATAAACTCAGGCTGTGTCTGAAAACACCTGTATGGATCTCAGCACAAGAAGCATTTTACAGAAGAGTAACAACAGGCAAAGACAAATATTTAACATAGCAGGAATTATTGGTGAATCACCAAGGGGAATATAAAATTAAATCGAGAGAGCAACTAATGGCAGAAGGATATAGTTGTCAGTGTTTTTCCCATTTAGTTATCAGAAAGATTTAAAATGAATAAAAAGACTTATGGTATGGAGCAAAGACAGAATTTGAAGTGCAATTGTGTACCAATAATTAACGTAATTGTTAAATGTGTAAACTTTTATTGAAATTTGAAATGGAAGAAGAACAGTTAAAGAATGTATGATAAAGTGGGCTAAGAATTTTGGTTATAATATACAGAAGGAATATTGGGAAATATATGGTCAAAAGGGTTGAAATTTACATTATGTTATGATCTTAAAGACAATTTTTATAAAATGATGTGTCATTGGTACATGATACCAGAGAAATTACCTAGAATATATAAAGGGATTCCAAATGTATGTTGGAAATGTGAACAACATGAAGGGATATTCTATCATGCTTGATGGACATGTAAAAAAGCTTTAAAAATTTGGATTCAAATACACACATTGATACAGAGGATTTTCAAGATTAATATTCAATTCAAGCCAGAACTTACCCTTTTAGGACTGATGGATACACAGTTAGAAAAGAGTCATGGAAGATTATTTCAATATATGATTACTGCTGCAAGATTATTATATGCACAAAGATGGAAAGATTCAGCATTACACACCATGGGGGAATGGTTGGTAAAATTGACAGAACTTGCTGAGACGGCCAAACTGACTTGTTTGATTAGAGAAAGGTCATTATTGACATTCATCAATGACAGGAAACCCCTTATGGACTTTCTGTGTAAAAAAGGAAATGATTTTGTGCCTTATGGTTTTGATGATTAGAAAGAATAGGTTACAGAAAGAATGGAATTATGATGTAATCTTAGAGAGAGAGGTTTGATTAGAACTGTATGTATAACTGCCGAGAGGAAGATCGGAAGCCATTTCTTTATTTTTCTTTTCGTGTTTTCTGTTCTGTTCTATTCTTTTGTTTTCTTTTTCTTTTTCCTATCTCCTTTTTTTTGTCTCTTTTTTTAGTCTCTTTTCTTTTTTTCTTCTTCATATTTACTATATTTTTTCTTTGAATGTATTTCTTATTATCTATGTAAAATCTTTTAATAAAAACTATTTTAAAAATAGACATAAAAACAATACAGAAACATATACAGAAGCATAAACCTACATATGCAAAACTAAACATCTAACTTAAAAACAAACAAAAACATATAATCCACGTCTACCCTTTGCTTTCCTCACGGATCCATTAACAATTTCTTATTCTTTTATACTGTTGTAGTCACTACTTAAATTTTCCGTTATCTCCCCATATTTAATCTTTAAAACCCTTTATCATCAAGCTGTTTTTCTCTACTTTTATAATATAATCTATAAATGGACTGCAGTCTTTAATAAAAGCCTCTGTAGATTTCTTTCTCAGTAGACATGTCAGGTTTGCCATCTCCGCCAAATTCATAACCTTAAATATCCAATCTTCAATACTTGGAGCTTCTTTGTTTTTCCGTTTCTGTGGATATAATAATCTTGTCACAGTGATCATATACAACAATAAGACATCGCACTTTTCACTCAGTTCTACTCCCGTAAGCCCTAATAGGTATAGCTCTGGTTTCAACTGAAAAGGTAATTCCCATTATTTTCACCAATGTCCTGTGGATCACTGACCAACCTTTTTTGGCCACTTTGTAAGTCCATTACATATGATAATAGGTTCCATCCTCTTTTCCGCATTCCCAACATTTATTTGAAACATCCTTATACATTTTTGACAGTTTCACAGTTGTCAAATGCCATCTATACTTCATTCCATTAAAAATTTCCTCTTAAATTGTTGCATAGAGTAAATTTAATATTTTTAGCCCACATTTTCCCCAGATATCCATGTCAATACTGTCCCAAAGTTTAGCATCCATATAATATTACATGATACAATATACATGTATCATATTTTAACAGCAGTTTATAAATTCTTGCGATTACATGTTTGTCATCTTTGCATAATTCTATTTCAAATTCATTCTTACTCCCTCCTATACCTCCTTGTTTCACATCATTTTCAAATTGTGTCTTTATCTGTGCATAGGCAAACCAAGTCAAATTTATACCTACTCTACTTAATTGCACTATAGTCTTAAGTATAGGTTTGCCACCTATAAACATCAGCAAATCCTCATAATTTAACCATTTTTCTTGGCCTGCTGTCTCTCTCCTGTGAAAAGCTTCTTGAGTTGAGGTATATAATGACAATTTTGGGGACAAACTCTTCTTATATTTATCCCAAGTTTTTAATAGGGCATCTGTGACATAGTGATTTTTACAATCAACATTTACTTTGAGATACCCATGTAGACCATATCTGAGGTTGTACACAACCAAATTTAACAATCAACAAGATCCACTTCTTTAACCATACTAGACAGCTTGCCGCAAAATATAATTTCAAATTAGGTACTGCCAAACCTCCTCTTTCTTTACCATCTTGTAACTCTTTCATTTTAATTAGTGGTTTTTTGCATTGCCATATGAATTTACTGAGATCTCTTTGGCATTGTACCAACCAAGGGCACCTCATTTTTCAGTAAAGGTATTGTCTGGAACAAGAAAAGCATTCTAGGTAGTACATTCATTTTAATTGCTGCTATCCTCCCCAATAATGAAAGATTAAATTTTTCCCATCTCTTTAAATCTTTTTTTACATCCCTCCAAACCTTTTCATAATTATTTTTAAACAAACAGGCATCAGTTTTGGATTTACTCTCAAATATTTAACCATCTTAGGTTCCAGTACGAAACTGCTCAAATGTGCTAACCATTTTTGTTCCTCATCTGTCATATTTTTAGCTAATATTTTTGTTTGTTTTTTTCCTTATTTATCTTAAATCCAGATAATTTTCTATATTCCATTAGCTTGGATGTGAGGGCGATCTGGTTGCGACATCTGTCACCCCATTGATCGCCAGGGTTGATTCAGCTGATCTGGCTGGCTAGGCAGGTATCCCCTTCCTCCCTCACTGCTCCATGTGCGTCCCTCCCGAAGCTGTGCGCTCAGTGGAAGAGGATGACCATCCCAGATAGAAGGAGTGTACCAATCTTCGGTCAAGGGTATACAATAGCTATATTCCATTAGCTTATCCATTAAAACACCAACATTTTCTTTAGGATCCACTATTGTTAAAACCAGATCATCAGCACAAGCTCCTAATTTATCATTTTGTTATATAATTTTCACCCCCTGTATTCCCTGGTCCTGTCTGATGTCTTTTACCAAGACTTCTAAAGCTATTATGAACAGGAGTGGTGAAACTGGGCAACCTTGCCTCGTTCCTTTCTAAATCATACATGGTTTGGATCATTTCCCATTCACAACCACCTTGGCTTGTTGTAAAGTATATATCAATCTTATCCATGTCTTGAAGTTTTGTCCAAATTCCATATTTTCCAACACCTGAAATAGAAAACTCCAGTTCAAATTGTCAAAAGCTTTCTCAGCATCTAAAAGAACAGCCTTGAAGTTTCTTGTACATCAGACTGAGCAGGCATATAGGTGACCTGGGCAGTCTCCTCTGTCATTGTAAGATGAATTGCATTACTATTAATTCATAATAATTATTTCTACATTTGCTTCTATATAGTTGATGTGCAAGGGGTCTCTCTCGTAATGTCAGCTACAGTGCTAGAAATTATAATTTCAGGGTCATCATTCCCTTTACCTGTAGATCTGTACATCAGCTCAGGATATTTAGGATAGTGGATTTTATATCCCAAACATAATAATATAAAAAGAGCCTTGTTGGATCTGATCAAAAGCCATCTAATCAGCACTGAGTCCTCACAAAACAGTTTTATTAGGAGATGAGAGAATATCTAGTCCGATATCCTGATTCCCACAACAGTGAACCAGCTTCCTTCAGCAGTTAGTGCTGAGGTATCTTATGATAACAAGGTATGGTGTGTGTGTCTGTGTGTGTGTGCAATTGTTCATAAGAATGAAATGAAGAGTCTTTGATTTAAAAATAAATGGTGTAGAATGTATATATGGATGATGTGAACAAAGTATAGTTTCTGGTATAAACAAGGAAAAGAGTGATGGTTGTATACATAAGATAGCTGGTGTGACTATGTAATAAGTGTATAAATTTGGGGGTAGATTTTTATGTATGGCTAAATGGAAGGAAATGAAGAACTTAGTATCCATCCTGTTTGCTGGAATGGGAAATAAATGTTTATCCAAAATTTGCCCCGGGGTGGGGTGGGGATTATGCCTGGGGTGTCACATCCAAGCATAGTTCAATATTTGAAATGGTTGGTTTCTTTCAGTACTTGTTATTCAGATCAGTGAGAATTATTTCAATATGTTGAGTTTTCCCATATGTTTCCATTTACTGGGGGGTTTACCTTGGTGGATGGGGAAATAACGTTGACAGAGGAAGCAATGAAGAAGAAAACGAGAAGAGGTCAAAATGGGCTCATGAGCTTCTCAGAGTCACAAGGCATCCATGCCTCTATCCCATCTTTCCACACATCCAGAAAAATATATTCCCATCAAATGTTTATTTGTTGGACTGTTTC